CTCGGGGGGGGGGGGGCCCTAGGCGGGGGCAAACCCCCCCCCCCCCCCCCCCCCGGCGATTCTGAATCAAGTAACTATAAAACTTTGGTCCGAAACGTTTTATTGTATCTCCAATAATACCTGGATAGTATCAGAGAGGGATAAAACTTCGAAAGTAAGTTCGGCTTCTGAACTCGAGTCGTTGTCGATAGAAAAAGGGCACGTGTCTCGTAATTTCGCTTCCAACAGAAATACGCGAAGCTTCCCCGGTAATCGACGTCTCCCGTGATCCCGTATAATCGAAAAATAAATTCCATTTAAACTGATAACTTTCCTTCGTGGATGCTTCTCCATAACATTGAACTGCACACCGAGGAGAAAGTTTCAAAATTAGAAGGACGTCTCGGGCGACAGAGTGAGCGAAACTGGACGGCGAACGATTGGTTGGAATTTATCGAAGAATTTTAATAAACGGTTTCGGCGGCCATGGCTTTTTATTGTTGTCGACAATCGGTAACTGTGGAAAGTTTATAAATATATATTGTAGAGTATATAAAAATAATAACCTATAAAAATAATAATCAATAAAAATAGTAATCTATTAAAATAATAATGTATAAATATAGTAATCTATAAATATAGTAATCTATAAACATAATAATCTATAAATATAGTAATCTATAAATATAGTAATTCATAAATATAGTAATCTATAAATATAGTAATCTCTATAAAAATAACAGGAGATTTCAGTTAAGGACAGCAATATTTTTGGAAAATAGTGTTTTCTGCAAAACATTTGACTTTTTCAGACATTTTGACTAAAATTACGAATCGATAACCCATTATTAATCGATAGTTGCAACCACTAACATAATAAAATGCATGCTGCAACAGTCTCCCGTTTTTTACCGCGGGATCGAAGGAAACATTATCGAACATAATCGATGGCGGTCCATGGAAACTGTTGATGCGTCAAGTTTGATGGAAATCAGTCTTACGTAATCTTACATGAATTTTGAACGAAGGTTCTTTGTCCTGCGAGAACGTCCAATCCATTCTTCAGAGGATTACCTTAATAACACCCGATGTCTTTTGTCGTGAATAATGTACCTACCTAACGGCCGCCGTCGTGTTGGCCTTATAATGTTAAACGGATTTCATAAAATTGACTTTTTAATAGAAGATGCATTAGATATTTCGTACAGAAAGGCGATTAACACGATGATAAATCCTTTACGAAGCGGCGCGATCACGTCGTTGCCTGATGCGCGTCGCGAGTTTCAGCTACGTCATCGTTAATGGCGAAAATCGTCTCGGCTTTGATCAGTATCATCGGTACCGCTCATTTTTTTCGACCGACCATTGTTCCGTATCCTTAATCCTTTATCGCTTAACCCAGATATTCGACGCTTCATTTTGCAATCAATTTCGGTGCCATGTACAATGATTAACAAAACCGATTGTGTAAAATGATCAAGTTATATGTGTGTA